TTTGGCACTGCACATGGAAAAAGTGCATGTGACCGAGTAGGTGGTACAGTGAAAAGAGTAACTAACAACCTGTCCCTCCAATGGCCAATTGGAAATCAAATTTTGACACAAAAGGACATGTTTTTAGTTGCTAAAGAAAGTTTAAAAACATCAGGTATAGCACTTTGTTGTCTAAATGCACATAGATTTTGGTCATGATTTTTTTTCAAGTAATGGATGTCAATCCTAATAAAACAAATTTTGAACTTTTTGGTATAAGTTTTTTATAAGGAAAATTATAAAGAAAATGGTACTTTAAAATAAGAGCTTACTAAATATATTTTTTAAATTATGTTCTTGGATTATAAGATTTATGTTAATATTTATTCTTAGATTTCTCTATATTTCTGAAAACGAAACAGGTGTTAACACTCATGAAGTTCTTGCTAAACGATTTGAGAATGTTCCTGCTATCAAAGGAACCTGCTCATATCATTGTTTTTCACCTTCATCGTGTTGTTTAAAAGCTTATGTAACATCAATGAGCACAACATTTGACATTTTTCACATGCTGGAAGATACTTGCATTAATACACAATCAGTAACTGTAGTTAGTAACTGTTGACAATATTGCTGATTGGGTATTAGGGCATTATTTTGGTGAATTTTTTCCTGGAAAGGTGATAAATGTTAAAGATGACTACATATCTGTCAGCTGTTTACATAAAGCTGGCAATTATTTCAAATATCCAAAAACACCAGATATCCATTGGTATCCAGTTAATGACATTATTGCCACATTACATGAGTCTGAGCTCCAAAACACAAGAAAATTTTACTCCTATTTAATAAAAAACAAGATTAAATAAATTATACTGCATTAATTGTTTTGAATTAGCAACTAATTATCAATTAAAAAGTAAAAACCAAACCTTATAATAAAAGTGGTTTCTAACAAGCTTCGACTTTTTCCTTTATTGATCATTATTTATTTCTTTTATAGAAGTTATTACTTTTTTTAAGCACCCTGATGTATCATGAATATTCCCTTGATATATTATGAAAGTCTTATTAAAAAATGTTCAACATTATTTTGTAAAAAATCATAGGTCTTTGACTTTGAGATAAAACACTCCTTAATTGTGTAAACAATATTTAAAGTATCACTATTTAACAATAATACTGGGTTTTAACTAATTATTGCCCCTTTATTTGTGCCCCTACCCAGGTTAAAAAATAGATCAGCATGGGGGGCAATCAACCATATCTTTTATTTTTTTTAAGAAACAATTTATAATCAGTTGCACCCATTGAATATGCTATTAGGCAGGTTGGGGGGGGGGGGGGGGAACTGGTTTCTAATAATGCATTTAACCCTAGATAATTATAAAGAAGGGCTATTATAAAATGCTGCCATTTTTGATGTGAATGCAACAAGTAAAAAATGATTGCATTTTCAGATATTTGGATCTTATGGTCTTTATTGCTGTTAAGCTTAGATCAATACAAAGTGTTAGAAAAAATTACGAGCATTTCAAAATGGCTGAAAATGGGACTTTTTTGGCAAACGGACAATACATTTTTAGATGTATTTCAGTTCTAAACTGCAACAAGCGGCTTATTTTTTGCCTGTTTGTTGTAGATAAGATTAGCTAATCAGAAAACAAAACTGTAGGGACTTGTTGCAGAATAGAAAAGTACTACAGTTAATTTCATTTTGGTCTTTTTTAGCATTTTTCAATTTTTTTTTTTTTTGATGTTAAGGAGGCTATAATTTCTTTCTAATATGATACAAGTCAACAAAAACCAGTATTTTTAATACAGAACTACCCAGAAAACACTTCTAGAAAAAATGAGACACTTGTTGAAAGTTAGGAAAAAGTTATGAGGCTTTAAAGTAGTCTGTTTTTACAATTCTTAAATCGAGGGGGGGGGGGGCCACTGCGCAGTGTTTATGGAGCTATATTTTCTTAACCGTTGCACTTGGAAGTCTGAAATTTCAAATTTAACCTATCTACATAATGTAGATAATGATATGTAAAAATCAGGGAAATCAGAGATGGTACCCCACAAAGTTTTCTCAAAATTGGTTGAAATATAATGATTTGACCCTACTATATCTACATCAAATTCATTCATTCACTATTACTTCATTCATTCACTACTTAAGAATACTATAAAGCTGATTTCAAAAAAAAAAAAATATTTTGTGATTTTTGAATTTCTTTCTTCTTTCTATTTTATTAATTTTTATCTTTTCTTTAATTAGTTTATTTATTTTCTTGGTTTCTATCTATTAGTATCTATTATTTTCATAAGAACAACTAGAAAAGCAAACATCTTTTATCATTGTAAGAAGTCATTAATTAAATACCGAGTAACAGGTAGCTTATCATCAGCACACAACTCCATGACGTTTTGTAATATATTTTTGTGTTTTTATCTAAATTCTAAATTTCCATTAATTTTAACCAGTAAACCCATACCATGCCAGGACATGATATTGTGATACTGTTGTGATATTGTGATGCCAGGACATGATATTGTGATACTGTTGTGATATTATGATGTCAGGACATGATATTGTGATACTGTTGTGATATTATGATGTCAGGACATGATATTGTGATACTGTTGTGATATTGTGATGCCAGGACATGATATTGTGATATGGTTGTGATATTGTAATGCCAGGACATGATATTGTGATATTCTTCAATTTTAGCTTTTATTTAATTAGTTACAGTTTCAGATGTTGAAAAAAGAGATGCTGAATATTGTCATTATTTAGGATGTCTTTTTTAGACATCCTATAAATTTTTCTTGAAGTTGGCTTTCAAATTTTATCCTCAGTGGTATTGTATTCTTCAATGTATTTATGACAGTTTTCCTTTTGGAACGATAAGTTTCATAAGTTTTTTTTTAAATCCTCTAATTTTAATGATTTATTGGGGGAAATTAAAAATGTCAGGGATGCCACAACTGTCAAGCAATGTCAAAGGCTTGTTAACAGTATAATATCAAGATGTATTAAAAAATATGACTATCCAACAAAATATTAATGTTACTTTTTATATTTGGATGTAGGATTTTATACAGTGCTAATTTTTAGCATATTATATAAAGTGGTTCTCATTTTACAGGTGTTTTTATTATTACACTATAAAATAAAAATTTCACATAATTTGAACATTCAAATTAAGTTATTTTTTGCAGACAAAATTAAAAGATTTCAAAATTTGCATCACAGGGTACCTTGATGTGTGCCCTATCACCACATATAAGTGGCATTCTTGGGTCAGCAAGGTTAGCAGTATTAGAATTTGTGCTTACCGTGTTGTTTTTCCTACCTTTAAACTGCACAGCATTTTCAGAAAAAGAAGAAAAAACAAACAAAGAAACAACAATAACAACAACAAAATTAAATCATTGCATTGCAACAGGAAGATTTTAATTTAACTTATTCGTAGTTAAAAATAACTTAAAAAAATAATCTTTTAAAAGATTTTTAGAAAGACCTTGAAAAATAATTTTAAATGTTTAAACTTATTATAAAATTACATGCCTACTATAAAAAATTTAAATATAACATTTAATTTGAACAAAATATGTTTGTTTTAAACAATATATACATTTGTTTTAAACAATATATATATATTTGTTTTAAACATATACTTAAGGTGTACTCCTTAGGGTGTTACTTTTACTTTTTAGGGTGTCTACTTTTTTTAATACCTTAATCCAAGACAATGTAAAGTGACTCAGTGAGAGAGTTGCCATTCATCAATATTGTTGAAATAGGAATGTCGACAATAGTTGTTAGCAGCTAATAACTGAGTTTTGTTTGACTTAAAATTCACAAGTCCTAACCTAATTCAAGCAACCAAAAAGAAGTCTTTTTTCAAGACAGGAGTATAAAGTTGAGTCGATTGCAAAAGAAGGCACTTTAGATACAAGATTGTTAGAAAGATCATTAATGTAAACCTTAAGGTACTATTTTTGGTCCTGTATTGTTTCCACAGAACTTATTTGAAATAAAGAAGAGTGTTGGCCTTCTAGGATACTTTAATACTGCAGTTGAAAAGAAATAATTTCCAAAATTTTCCCAGATACACCATATGGGGCAAGTTTATGAATAAGAACAGCATGCCTAAACCAACATGTCAAAAACTCTTGCCTTGCCACCTAATGCACAATAGAATCTTTTTAGTTATAGTAGTTAGCAAGTCAAAAAAGATCTAAATCAGCATTGATTGTCAGAGCTATTAGACTCTAGATGTTAGAAATTTGTTGAAAGACTAAAAGACCTTGCTAATAATAGAAAAGATTGATAGGTTGTTAATTAGAGGGGTCAAAGAGTTCTCTAGAGTTTAACAAAACCTCAGATTTTTCAGCAGACAGGAAAACAAGATTCAGTCACTTATTAAATAGTTTAAAGAGAATTGAAGAGAGTTCTGGAGAACATTTTCGTAAGACTATGGCAGGAATGTTGTCTGGACTATAAGCCTTATAAGTGTTTTATTGAGAATTGATTTTAGCGATGGAAGCTGGAGTGATTTGGATGTCTAGAAATGGGTTAACCTGTTTAAATAGAATGGCAGGAAGAGTCTAGCCAAAAGATTTAGTCGAATTAGAAGAAAAGTTCTTTGCAAATAGTTTAGACTTATCCGTGGATTAATAAGATCAGACCCATTAATTAGAGCTAATATGTTCGACATACATTTGTTAATAACACTGTTGAAGATTTTCCAAAAGTCTATCCAGCCTAACTTTCAAGTAGATACAAGATTTAGTTAACTGGAAATAATGAAGATTAGCATCAGAAAAAAGATTTTTACATTTGTTATTTGCAACAAAAAGGCATTTATTCTCAAGGGAGTTGTTCTTGTAAAAAAGATGAAAAAAATTATTCTAATAAGCTGCACAAGAAAGTAAAACCATGGAGTAGAATAAGGCTAGAAATAAAAACCAACAAAAAAGAATCAAAGTTTCCTAAACTAACATTATAACACTTAACAAAATTTTTAAAAAAACATTTAATTCAACATTCATTTAAGTAATAAAAAATACACACCTTTACATCTGGTAATGAATAGCGAAGACAAGATATTTGTATTTCAGGAAAACAATACTCCAATATATCTTTCAATGGTAGAGGGCGAGTGGAATTGTGGCGAGACGATGATGGTATGGAATTCTCAAGAACAGATATTCTTAAGGCTTGTAACTAAATACCAAAGTCAATACTTTTAGTACAATTTTTAGAGTTAAAAAACATAATAACAATAAAAACAGTTAAATATACATATATAATAATAACAAAAAAATACATCGCTTGTCCTTAAAATTATTCTATATTGATATTTGTTTTTTGTATTTTTTTCACTGCCAACGTCATGACCTAAAACCATCTGTGTCAGCAACTCACGAACTATTGATATTGCAATAGGTCCATAATTCTTATCTATTCCAAAGAGATTGGTATGCTCTGCAAATAATAAAGTTTGTCTTTCTAATTATTAATATTTTTTCTTTATTTAGCAATGTTCAGAAAAACTACTAAAAGAAAAAGTACCTTGTTCACTAAAAAATTCTCTGTAGTACATAGCTCCACGATCAATATGTTCAAACTCAAATATTTGTGGCTCTGAAACATTGGGTTCATCCCAAGTAAAAAAACTGGAATCATCCTTCAATTCTTCCAGAAGTATGTCATTGCTAGAGTATAACAATTCACGTTTGCGAAAATTTCGCTTTTTGTCATAATTAGAACTAAATTTATCAAATACAAGGTTACGATTAAACATGGATATTAGTTTTGTTACATCTTTTATATTACGAACATCTTTGATACTACCAAGATCTTTTATATGATCATCAGAGTTGGTTTTGTTAATAGGATGTGAAATCTCATTGCGAAAGAAAGGACAATTAAGTAATAAATCATTTCCATTATTATCCCCATCATCTAATACAGATTCAACACGCTCAACTGTTTTTCCAAATTCAGTGACACTTTGATCACTTTTTATACTTCCTTGGTTACTGCGAGCAGAAGCTGCTGAGGCTCCAGTCAGTTTTTTTACATAAGCACCTCCTTCTTCAAAAGATGAAACAACTTCAAGTTTAAAAAACAAACTTTGAACATCAAAATATGCAAAGTTTTTATTACTCTTTCGGTTATCATTTCCAGAATATGCAGACATTCCTAAGGACTGCAAAATACTGAATCGAGCATCATCAGCTGTCATCTTACTTTTTTTTTGACGAATAGATAACTTTCGTTTTGAACTCTTCCTTTCAAGTTGAACTGGTTCAACAACATAACCAGGAGTTTTGTAATTTAAGTCTTGATTTGATGTTTGTGATGGAAGAGACTTTAGAGCTCCATTAACCATTTTAGCTTGAAATCCTTTAATTAAGTTATGAACAGAAGGAGGTGCTCCAGCACTTGTTGAATCTGTGTCATCAAAATTTTGAGAACCTCCACGACTAGAACTAGCCCCGATGGAATTAGCATCTTTAATGTTTGAACTTGCCACATTTTTTCCTTTCATAGAACCAGTGCTACAACGGATGTCATCATTTCTAGAAAAACCAGGTGATGCAGCTCGATCTGGAGAACCTAAATAATTGCATTTTTCAAATTACTTGAATAAAAAACACATACAAATAAAATTTAAATTAACAATATACACATAGTATTTATTTACATGCAGCACATATTTTTGCAGAAACCAAACTTTATTATTTCAGCAAAAAATTTAAAGCTACTGAAAGCTGAAATTTGAGTTTGATACAAATTTTACTTATATGCAAACCTCAGAATTAGAATAAATGAGGTCGGCAATTTATTTCCAACCTCAAACTGTGCCTTGCTAATAATAGAGACAAAGGGGTTACCATAAAACATAGAAACAAGGTTGGTGATTTTTTGCTGACCTCAATTTTTTTAATTCAGGTCGCCATTGCCGAATGCTGACCCTTATTCCGAGGACTGTATATGCCATTATCTCTGGACTAGTCAGCTTAATAATAACATACTTAGTATTTTTCTTTCTTAAATGTTCATAAATAATGACAAAAATAACAACAACAATAATACAGCAAATTGAACAAAAAGTAAAAGATATTTAATAACTAATAAAATATGAGGAAAAATTAAAATTTTTCAAATACAAAAAAAGTTATCAGATGCCTTGATTCAACTATAATCTAAATCTCATTGCATAATCAATTTTTGTTTGTTTGTAGATAGTGAGATCAAAAATTTCTAAAATCACCACTACCAATTAAAGCTGTTTTAAATTTCATTAAGGTCATAAAAGTGTAAGAAAAATGATTGTGACCAAGTGCTTTATTTAAAAACTGATTTTTAAAATACTTGCTAATTTTTATTTTTTTTTTACTTCTGAATATGTTAAGCTTAATAATTTTTTGTTATAAACTAATAAAATGATTGATTTTTGCATATTTATGCTTATTGAAAAGTAACTAAATATTGAATTTTTAGATAAGAATAGGAAAAACAAAAAACAACAATTCTTTATACTATGTTTATACCACTGTTAAAAGGCCTTTATCTCTACTTAAATATGTGATATATTTCAAAAAATGTTTATTTTCAGCTTCCATCAGTATGTAGCTTACAAGTTATATACTAATGGAAAAGTTTTAAACTTCTAAACTACAGTATAACTTCTGAAATCAAATTTCTCACAAAAAAAAATTCACAAAAATTCTAAAAAACTTTTTAGAATATGTCTGCTTATGGTACAATAGCAAAAACTTAATTGAAAGATTGAATTGAAACAACAAAGAACAAAAACTCTAGAGTTTAGAGCAAGACAAATGATAAATGTTTTTCTAATATATGTAAAGCTATATAACATATGATATATTTTACTAAGAGTTGGTACATATAGAGCAAAAGATATTTTAAAGTTATAGTCTATTTAACACTAGAAAAGCTAAGTATTAAAGAAAATCATTTATAGAAAATAAAAGGAACAAAGAATAAAGAACACACGAAGAAAATGATTACAGATTACAGGTTGTGAAATATCATTTTTTTAAATAAGAGTTAAAAAAAAATTGTTTATTGTGTTTATGGTTAAGTAGTTAAACATATCAAAGAGGATCTGCAGCAGAAAATGTGATATAATTACTGTTTCTTTTAAAAGTCAAATACTGGGATGGTCTTCTTCTAGAAGTTTTGCAAAGTAACATTAAAAAAGGAACTAATCAGGTTTTAGTAATACAAAATCTGTTGGAGTGTTTTGTAATGCCTTATAAGTTATTGTAGTTTGTAAATACCTTACAAAGAGTTTATAAATACATGGTAATTGAAAGAAACAAAATCATACAATTTTGACAAGAACTAAAAACAAACAAAAAAAATACACTAATTTGGTTAATAAGGTAAACATAAAAATCACAAACTGCACAAAATCACAAACTTGCACACTAGTGTGTACTAAAGCAATAACAGAGATTAAAAGCAAAGGCATAACACGCTATGGTCAAGCTTTAGGAAACAATAGGAAGACTTTTTGTCATGTATTACTGCTGCGGCTGATTCTAATTATAGATTTAAAATTTTTCTAAGATTTCAGTCAAATTTTATGAAAAATCTTTCGCTTCAAAATACATCTTGTATTTTGAATTATTCTATGTGAATAACTTTTCAATGGTATGACTACAAGCATGTTGTAAAATGTGCCAAAATATTGAGTGTTGGAAGGAAGGCAAATTTTTTTTTTGGTATTGATAACATTAAAATAAAGAGCTGGTACTTTCTTCCATAATGATGGTGATCTATGTTATCTCAGGCCTTGTTTTAAAGCATAAACTGGTGTTCCATTTACATATGTGCTAAGCCATTTAACATAAATAGTAGGCCAGTTCATGTAAGCCATTTCTATCATTTTTTTAATATTTAAAATTAAAATTAAGTGTAAAGAAATCATTTAAGCAGTAAGATAAAAGAAGCAATTAAAGTTATAAAAACCACTTATTAAGTTTAAATGATTAGATAAAAAAGTTTGCATGACAATTAAATTTGATATTCTTGCTATTTACAAATGCAATAATTTAAATATATATATATATATATATATATATATATATATATATATATATATATATATATATATATATATATATATATATATATATATATATTTTTATTATTATTCTTCCCAAAATGTTTAGGAAGAGAAAAAAAAATGATGTTAAAGGCATATGATATACTAATTAAAAAAAAATATGGTAAAATAAACATAAAAAATTTTCTATTTATCATTTTGCAAGAGCAAGAAAATTTATTTAGACAATTTCTCATAACAAACAATAACAAAAATAATTAAACAATATAAAAAAAAAATAATAATATAAACAAAACAAAACAAAAAATTATTAGCTAAAAATAGTTATATTCTTTTTACCTTATATTCTATTTCATATTAGTGCCACTTTTAATGTTTTAAATTTTGTTTGTTGGCTTAATAACAATTGATTTTATCAAAAAATGAAAAAACATTAAAAACTTTAAACAACATTTTATAAAGAGTTTCTATTTTTATAACTAAATATTCTATAATAGTTACATCATCTTTATATAATTAACAGATTGTGTGATATCAAAAAGATAAAAACAGAAATTTCCTTAAAATTAAGAAAGAATTTTAATTAAAAAAGTAGATTTTTTTAAATTTTTTTTTCCTCCTTTTCTATTTTTTCCAAAAAACAAAATTTCTTGTAAACATGTTATAACTTATAACACTTCATCAAAAATATTCATAAAGCATAAATTTAACGTTAGCATCTTAAGGCAAGTAAAAGCGCAACGGTATATATATTTTAATAAATGATACTTATAAACTTAAATCTTTGTCACACAAAAAAGCACAGGTAAAGTAGAGTAAAAAATCATTATTTGTGAACACACAATTTTAAGAAATAATGAAAAAAAAAAAAAAACTTTTTTAAAAAAAAAAATTTTTTTTATACAAATGTTGAGAAAAGAAAGAAATTAATTTATGTTAAATGATAGCAAAAAATGTAAATTTAATTATTTAAAATAAAAAGAAACAAAATAAATATTCCACAAAATTAACAAAATGAAACTTCTAGATTTACTCTTCTTAATTAGTAAACTTGTCTTGTGGTAATTTATTTTATTGTGGTAGTTTAAAAAAGTTAATGTCCTTAAATAATAAAAAAAATAAAGATAATTTTATGACATCAAAATCACAACGAATTATTGGGCTAAGCCCATGGTGATATTTATTACAGGCCTTCCTGTTGCGAATCCATATTTTTGACTGGGGGTGGACAAAGTTACAGAAAATATAAAAAATGGCTAAAAAAGTTTGCAAACTTATCTATTATTTTTAGTTAGTTTACTAAATTTTAAAAGTACTGTATTAATGCAAAAAATGTCTATTGAAGTGTTTATTAAGAATCATCAAATTCAAAAAAAAAAGATTTTGAAAAAAAGAATAAAATACAATATATTTCAGAATAATGAGTTGTAATTATTTAAAATCTAAATCACAAAAAAATGAACAAACTTTAAAATAATGCAAAGAAAAAAAAAGGAAAAAAACATCATAATATACATCAAGTAAAAAGAAAAAAATATCAAAATATACATCAATAATGTTATAAAAAAATGTACATAATAATTTTTAAATGTTATACAGATAACTTTAAAATCTTCAATGCAGGTTCCTTATTGGACTTGGGTGAAAAAGGCTAACAATTTTTAAGAAATATGTTTGATAATATTGTACCATGTTTCTTTAACATATTAAAGTTATAAATATCAGATATCATCATAAAAGTATTACACAATGACTTTCTGCATATTTTGTTTTTCTCAATTTCAAAAATAATGAAACAAAAAAATACCCACTGCACATAGCAATCGAAAGGTATATTCAATCCACTGTGATCTATAGTTTTTGTATAGTCTCCATGTAACTGAAAATAAAATGCAGCATCATTAAACAAATCATTTTCACTAACATCATCTTTTCTTGTAGCATAACCTGCAATATAAAACAAAGCTATTTTTGTACTCAATGACAAAGATGATTCTAGTTCAGATAATTGATTAATGATGTCACAAGATTCTTCACTTATAAAATAGCCACATTTTTGACAAGAATGCTCGATATCAATAGCATAATCTGTAACATCAACTTTTAATTGCAATAACCGTTTAGCTTTTTCAATGTTTAACTTTTCAACAACATTTTGAACTGTTATAAAGTATGTTCCACCTGAACCTTGCCTAAATTTACCAAATGCTTTTTTAATACAATCTGTTGAAAACTCTCTTAACATAACATAATCAAAATTGTTTTATAGCAAATAATTACACATCTCAATGACTCCATAACATGTATGCCAAATTAAAGTACCCGTATCTTTAGTTAAAGATTTCATTCTATGACCTTGTTCACCACTCATTTTAAATGCCATATCTCCAAAATCAAGTAAGTACCGCAAATTTATGCCTAATTCTTTAGAAATAACTCTCTTACGAGAATCTAAAAATTGCATATCACCATAAATTTCTTTTACACTTACAATTTTCCAAAATTTAGTAACTTTTTCTAAAAAAACAAATGGTTTCATTCATCTTGCAAGGGTGGATAACTTTTGAATAAGTTTTAAGAGCAGCTATAGTTTCATCGCAAAATACTTTTAAACAATGTGATTCTTTTTGTCTTTCAATGGGTTTTGTATGTATAGCTACAAAATTTAGTCTTGATAACTTAATTAGCTGATCTTTCTCAAAATCTTCGATACATTTAAGGTCACTCCACTTAGCAGTCAAATTTTGGTCTTTTTCAAATTGTAATTCCTGCATTTTTTCTGTAATCCAGTTATTCCAAATATTTTTTAGTAGATGAACATAATCAAAAAGGAGAAAAATTCCACATTTTGTTATTCATGGTTTTCCTTCAACTCTCTCAAATAACTTAAAAAAAGCTTTATTTGTTCGATTGCCATCACAAATAACTGAAATTACTTTTCCATTGCTAGACTTAATTGAATTAATGACATAGCATGCTTGCTCAAACAAAAAAGAAGCATCCAAATGGTATCATTTTGCATAAAAAAGATGGTCCACCTTTTAAACATTTAACCATATTACCCAAAATACTATTTGCTAACAACTCTGGATTATTTTCTGCTTTTCCAAAAAGATAACCACCATGATAAAGAAGAAGAGACTTTACATAAACTTCATCCACCAAAAGTATACAATTTCTATGATTTTCCTCTAAATTTGAAAAAATGGTACTAATAAAGTCAATATCTGAAACTTTTTTTGTCATAGATGTAATTTTTGTTAATTTTTTTACACTTGGCAGTTTAAAATCTTTTCATACCTGATTGTATAAGCATCGAGACGTTGAAAAATAACACTAGGATCTGATTATAGTTTCTACATTATAAATTTTTTTACCTACTTCTGATGCATTCATAGATGTAATAAGATCTTGTAATACTAACTTTTGATGATCAATTTCAATGTTGTTCAAAAAGCGAATTGTTTCTTCAACTCTTGACCAACGATCAAGATATTATACGGTTTTTTGATAGTGAAGAAATAAAACAACAAACACCAGCATAAAAACTTTCAAATTTAAAATTGCTTGAGATATGAACAGCAAACAACAAACAGTATACAGTTAATATAAAAGGAATTTGATTAGATGTGCAAAACATCAATTATAACAAAAGTTGTTACAGGGCAAATAAATTTATGATTTTTAATATCTTCACATAAAAAAATGAATGTAAACAAATCGTTTTTTAAATATTGCGACAACTCATCACACTTTTCAGTTCTGATAGAAGACAACACTTTAGTAGCGGACCTTGGTTTTAAAGGTTGAGTTGGTACAACACTAGCTGAAATGTTTAGAAAAATTAAAGGAGGTTCAATTGGTCTAACTTTCCTATTGACAATAGTTGTTAAAAAATTTTCTGGAAAATGTCTTTCACAGACAACAGCATCTGGTTTATTTGGAAAATTACTTCTTGGAATTGAATTTATCCAACAATTTCTTTCTTCTACATTGGAGGGAAGCCTAAAAACTCGTACTTTATTTCTAGCGTCATAGTTACCTCTACATTCAGAAACAGCACTTTTTGACCATTTATTGTAACAACCAATTACTCACAAATCGAACTTTTAAAAAACTAAAATATATCTTTCCGTAAGATTGTCCGCCCCCAGTCAAAAATACGGATTCGTGACGGGAAGGCCTGTAATAAGTATCGCTATGGCTAAGCCGTTTTTTATTAAAAACAAGGCATGTAATCTATTCTATAATGTGATCAATTCAGCTAATTCTTTTCAAGCAAAATATATATCCTATGCAGAAATTAGTGTGCTTTATAGTTATACAAATTTATTTAGATAAATGTCTTGAGAATGTAAATTATATTGGTGTTTGTCATGATTAGTTTTTCAGGACTATAAAGGGAGAGGGGAGGCTTCCAATCAAATAATTGGGTTTAAACAATTCCTCTAAAACTGATTTTTCCACTCAAACAAAAACATATTTCTTAGAACTTTATGCAGTCATAGTAAACTTTACAAATTTTTCAAGAAAAAACTAGAAAAATGGTATACTTGACATTAATGTAACCTTAATGAATCAATAAAAAAAAGTTGTTTTTTGTAGATAACTTGATAATACATAGTTTGATTTTAATTCCTAAAAATAGAATGCTAACTGTTGTACATGGAAATAAATTTGTAATAAAGTTGTAAATGGTTGAATATACAAATCTGGTTTCAGATATAAAACTGATTTTGATATGTCAAAAATCTATATAATAATCTTTTTTTTATTGCATAAAAATCATAAATTATCATAAATAACACAGCTTTATTATAATTATATTTTTGGTAACCTTTTGAAGAGTTGTTAATCTTTGATGTAAATGTCAGGTTCTGTGGAGGAAGAAGCAGCTGTTCAGTTTGTGGCATTACAATGTACAATTATGTCATTTCAAATGTCATTACCTAATCTAAATATAATTTATGTTTATTAATGTTTACAATGGTTCAAAACAAAATATTTAATTCCACAAAAATAATTATAAATATAACAACAACAACAACAACAACAACAACAACAACAACAACAACAACAATAGTAATCTTATAAAAATTCTTATAAAAATAATAAGAATTGTTAGTTATTATTGTTTATTATTGTCTATTTATTTCCTTGAAAAAGTGTCAAGATTAAAGTTGACATTTATAAAACTAAAGTGAAGAAAATATTAGTACAATGCCAATCTTAATGTATATAAATATGTATTATGTGTGTGTGTGTGACATATGTGTGTGACATGTGTGTGTGTGTGTGTGTGTGTGTGTGTGTGTGTGTGTGTGTGTGTGTGTGTGTGTGTGTGTGTGTGTGTGTGTGTGTGTGTGTGTGACATCACTAATATAATAAAAAAAATAATCCACCTGGGTCTCAAAAGAAAAAAACTATAAAAAATTTCAATTTTATTATTCTTAAAAAATATGTTAATTTTATTAGTTTTAAAAAAAATGTTTATTGGTAAATATTTGAAACTTGGAGGTAGTTTAATACATTAATAATATTTAGGGAGAAAAGCATTTTCCAAAAATCATTAATCAAGTGCTAACATAATGTACACCCTCAGTCAAAGTATATACTGAAGCCCCAACAATGACAACTATAGTGTCAAGAGTGGCATTTTATACACACTTAAATCTGCATTAATTAATATTGGCACATTTATGTGCATCATGTACATTATTAATATAAGACTACTGACATAGTAACATAACTAGTATTGCAATGTTATTAGAATAGCTATGTGTTGTTACTAGAATTGTAATGTTGCTGTTATGGTAATATGGAACTGTCACAAAAATGTTAGTATCATGATGTTTCTGGCAAAGGTTAAAAAAATTTAGTTCACCTACTAAACTTTATACAGTGTATTTGTGAATATTTTAGAATTTAAATGAAGTTTTTTACTCATTTTAAATTAAAAAAAAAAATTACTTTAAAAACTTGATAAGTATAAAAAGACAACAGAAACATTTAATTTATAAATGGTGTTATAACAAACAAAAGATGTTTTGTTTACTTTCCTCTGCTAGCAGAAAAGATTTTAACATAATCCATTTCAAAAACTTCACAGTCAAAGATTAAAAAAAAAAATATATGAAAAAAAAAAAAAAATTAAAAAACGAAAGCAAACCTAAAAATTCAAATATATTTGAAAAATTATAGAAAAGTCAACAATCTGTCAAAAAAATCTGTTTAGATTTAAATAAGTTACATAGTGTATACAAATAGATTTACAAATAGATTAAAGTGAATACAAATCCAAAACAAGTTCATATATTAATAATTAATTATTGTTAAATATTTCAAAAAAAAACATGAAACACTTTAATTAAATGTTTCAAATTTTTCTTAACTAATTAAAATTAAAAAAAATATTTTAAGTGTGTATTGCAACAAACAACCAATCATAAGTGGATGTAACAATAAAGAACCAATCATAATTTAATAATTAGATTAATGTTATAAAATATTTTTATAATAAATAAAAACTTCTATATGCAAAAAATTTTATTTAAGCTACTTTGTATATTTTATTTTTTTATTGATATTAGTAAACAGTATCCCAAGGAAATCATATCTTAATTAAAAATTAATTTAAAAGTTAACAATTAAATTCATTTTTTTAATTACAAGGAATTTTTTTTTTTTTTTTCAAGAATTGGACTGGAATAAGATTATAAGATAAAAGATAAGAAGAAAAATAGTTATAAGATAAAAGATTAGCAAAAAAACTTGAGTAACAATCATGGTAGTATATGTAGAATAGATAAAAAGATGAAACCTTTTATTGATGACAGAAGCTAAAGCTTGGCAACTAGAGGAAGTGCACCAAAATGTTTCCTTAGACCTTATCTATAGGGAAAAACATCATTAGAAAGAACAGCCTAAAATTTACAATAGTATTCCATAAAGTATGAATAAGTTTATAAAAGTAGAGAATGTAATCAGAAGTAAGGAAACAATAAATACAATAAAATGAGGCAAGCTTAGCAGATACTAATTTTGCAATAAATCGGATACAAAGTTTCTATGAGAGGTAAAAGATGAAAAAGTGAAAGATTTCCTTTCTAACTTCTTAGAAATTAGGTCTAACCAGTTTAGTAAGAAGTAAAAATCAACAGGTGAAAAGTTACTTCAAAATCACAAAATTTTGTAAAAGATAAATCAAATAAAGTTATGGTAGTACTAGTTTTTTATGCTTAATATTTTTAAGCACATGTAGTGAATTGTACCCTGAGCAAGAAACTATGCAATTGCCTCTCTCCTACTAATCATCCAGATGTAACAAAGGGCTCTTTATTTGACCTCAACAATTAACACTTAAAAAGAACTAACATCGTCCATGCACAACATGGCACTAGTAAATATCTGATATTTAACAGCATTAGATGGAATCAACCTGCTCACTACCACAGTTCAAAAAACCATACGGCAGGTCTTTTTTTTTTTTTGTCAAATTTTGTCAAAGCCTTCCAATATAGAGCATTGGACTGTGCCATTGGACTGTACTATTGGACTGTGCCATTGGACTGTGTCATGGTTGCTTCATGGGTTGTAACAGCAATTAAAAAAAAAATTTGACTGCACCAATCCTCTCCGCTTTTGGGAGATAAAGTAAAACAATTATCTAGATTAAAAAGCCTGGATTATCTGAGTTAAAAATCTGCATTTTATAAATTAAAAAGAGTAGACTATATTAGTTTTATGCCAATTTCAATTCTAGTAAACATTATGAACAGCTGTTTAGAAATATTTCCAGCTACAAAGCAAAAAAATGTGCAAAAATGCTTGTATTTGCTAATAAAATCAGTGGAAATATTGCTTCAGATTTTATCAATTTATTCTTATTTCTTATTCAACAGAAAAATAGTTTTAAGTGTTTAAATTTATCATAAAAAATACATACCTACTAAACAAAAAATTTAAATATTACATTTAATTTACACATATTGCGTTTATTTTAAATAATAATTATAATTAATTTTTGATTTTATTCAAAGCCTTCTCGTAAAATTAAAACTTTAAAAAAAAAAACAATGATTAAAAGTTTTTCTTAACGTAACAATTTTTTTTATTGCATTTAAGTTGTTAAAACATCAAAACAGTCATTGTCAAACTGTGAAAAAAAATAAGCGTTGTGAAATACAGCATGAAAATCTAATTCTAAAAAAACATACACAGGGCTCAAAATAAAATCTAATCGCAAAAAAAAAAAATTCGCCGCTTTGCAGTAAGGAGGAGGGAAAGGGGGGGGGGTTCCTTAGTATAAACTTATATCTTTTCTACATTAGTTCGTAATTGTTATTTTTTAACAATTTCTCTTATTTAAATATTATCTTATAATTTTCTTGTTTGTTGGAGTTAAAAATAGCGTAAGCTACTGTTATAATTTACAGATAAAGTTAATTTATATATAATTTATATATATTAATTTAGAGTTTATATTGCAGTTATAGTGTTATGAGCAAGCTGTGCTGTTATGAGCAAGCAACGCATTTAATACTATTGCAATATTACTTTTAATAATTGTTTTAAATTAACATGATACTTAAAAAAGTAAAAGTAAAAAAGTAAAAGTAAAAATGCAAACATAAAAATATTTAAACCACTTTATTTAGTTATAAAAAACTATTTAATACGTTTATGCTGAAAATAAAACATGTAAAAAGCTATAAAACACCAATAACACAAACTGCGAAGTTGTTTTAACAATATAAATAACTTGTGTTTAATGTAAAACAACTTCGCCACGCTGTTTTATTACTGTTTCATACATTTATAGTATTAATAATACAAACGGGTAAAAAATAAAACGAAGTAAATAAATAGAATTGTTCTGATTATACTACTAAATGAAAATATTGCCAAAAACTTTAAACTTCATATTTGCACAAAAACATGCCTATAGACCATACTTTTTACTTTGCTTTGTTTGGTCAATAGAGTCTATAATCTATTGACCAAACAAAGCAAAAAAAATTGTTTCTTGATCAGCGTACTATTATAGAATTAAGTATAATTAATTTCATTATTCAAAATGTTTTTCAATAAAAAGTGAAAGTTTTTCAAGTTAATGTTCAAAAGTTTTTTAAGTTGACATTCAACTTTTTCATTCAAAATCTTTTTCAATAAAAAGTGAAAGAAAAAATTTGGTTTAATAAATATTTCCTAATTTAAGTATGTGTTTAAATTATTTTTTTAGAATAAAATTTCTTTGAACAATAAAATAACTAATTTTTTTAATTTGAATTGATTATAATTTATTTTCTGGTTTAATGTTTGCAATAGAATGTTTCTAAACTGAAAACTATTTTCAAGAAACAAAAAATAATAATCTATTCAAAATGTTGACGATTCAAATAAAACTTTCATTCTCACTTGCACTATGTTCTAAATCTAATATTGTTACTGTAGTTAGATTTACATTTAACTTTGGGTATTATGGGCGCTGCTGCAATTAAATTTATAATTATTGAGCATTAAAATTCTATGAAATTTTTCCAATTTTTATTTCAAATTTCAATTGCAAAATTATTTTAATATATAAAATAATATATTTGTTTATATAAAAAATTATAAAATCTATATAAAATCGCACTTTTCATTTTATATTAGAGATTTCTTTTTAAAATAATTTCTAGATAGAAGCTTTTATTATATGTTAACAACATATAAGATATAAACAGAAATATTTTTATGGTTAACATTTGTGAGTCTTTCAAGGGATCCCCAAGCGTCGAGACAAATTGTGTTCATATCAAAGATAAACATTAGAAAATAAGTAAAATGTTAATTAAACCTTTCAAATTATTGAATGAGATATTAACAAAAGCATTTGCTGTATTGCCATTATACTTCCGGTTGAGAGCCTAATTTGAGGCTCTCTTAATCTGCAAGTTTTTTCCGTTAAAAAAACATCTGGTTTCAATAATAGAAAATTTCTCTCACCACAGAGTTTTTTAAACAGTTCAGTTTTACATAATCAAATTGGGTTTTCCCCTTTAAAAATAGTCTGCTGTGGTTATAAAAAAGTTCACTGTAGCATGTTTTTATTTTTGTTCAATGTATTGTGAAGTGTTTAAGTTAGAATAAACTAGCATAATAAAAATAGTAATTAATCGAAGCGAACTTATTACTTTTATTAAAAAATACAGCAAAGTATATGTTTTCTTTTATCTGCAATTTATTTGTACTTTTTATCACTAAATCACAAAAATAAAATATTTTTGTGATTGAATTTATATTTTATTACAATAATTTAGGCTTATTAATCTATTATTGATATTTTATTATATCAATTAACACTTATAATTCAAAATGCCGTTTTTTAAATGATCTAATAAATATTTATTATATTGATATTAAAAAATTGAATCTTATATTTTCGTTTAACCACTAAAGGGAAACCCTAGAGATACTTTAATGTTTAACTTGATTTAGGCTTTTTAAAAAAATCATTTTTTATTGACGTCAAATATTAAATACAAAAACCCATTAATCATATATATATATATATATATATATATATATATATATATATATATATATATATATATATATATATATATATATATATATATATATATATATTTATATATATATATATATACATATATATATACATATTTCAAACAAAAGTTTGTTTATAAATCTTACCATTTGAAGGAGGAGAGTACCTGTTGAAAAATCTTGTTTGGAATTTATAAAAAGCCATAAAAAAAAAAAAAAGGGGGGGGGGGGGGAGAAACAGTAAAATGCATTGTTTGGTCCTGAGTGCTAGCAGGTAAAGCAATTGTTACAAATGTCGACTCATTTTATGAATATGCCAAGGTGTTCGTCTCTCTAGATGAAATAAAACATGAAAAGGAGATGCTAGAAGCCAGATGGAAAAATTGCAATTCTTAGCCTCAGACACAATCATTTCACTAACTTGAAGTGCAGCAACTCTACATATTTTCTTACAAAAGATATTTCAGTGATACATAACAAACATTGTTTGATTGTGGAAAGGGAACAGTGGAACTGTCAGAGTTCAGTTGGCCTGTATGTGCTGGCAAAAGTTGCTACAAAACGAAAACAGGTCAACTATGTTGGGGTCATAAAAACATGTGATAAGGATGATGTTGAAGTTTCATTCCTCAGAAAGCGGTTGGGCATGTTAGTGAAGCCAACTAAACCAGACAAAAGTTGGTTGCTTAAAACTGATATTGTGAGGGTCTTGTCAACCCCGTTTATTGACAATCGAGGTCATTATGAGTTTGATGAGGATTTGGATGCATCTTAAACTGCAGAGAGTATTATTAAGATTGAGAGTTTTAGGTTTTTATTTCATAATTTTGTTCATAGTGATGTTTTTTTGCTCACATTTGCACTTATATAATGGCAGTAATATATAATGACAGGCTATCACATCCGACACTTTTATGTTACGTCTGACACTAATAATTTAGTTAGCTGTATTTGATGCAGTAGTTAAGAATGGTTTAAAGAAACACATATTATGAATTTTATGTATCCCAGTAAGAGTTCTGAATAAATATTTAAGCAGTATTGCCCTTACTTTCACAGAATTTCCATTTAGAATAATGAAGAGTGCAATTCAACCTTATTGTAAAAAAAAAAAAAATTATGATAACTTGATTAATAGCACACACTACCATTGTATTAACAATATAAGTATATTAGCAAAAACTTCTTGATTTAATAACAAATGACACTTTAATCATGTCTGAATGTCACGTCCAACGCCATGGAACTGCCCTTATATGATATATAATGCTTATCATATATATATATATATATATATATATATATATATATATATATATATATATATATATATATATATATATATATATATATATATATATATATGTATATATATATATTTTTATATTAGCCTCTTTATGATGATCCTGTTCTCTTTTTTTTTAAAACACTCTAACATATTTAACATATATATAAAAATATTTTAATGAGAAATGTTAACAGGCAAATAAATTTTACTTTTTACAAAGCAGTTAAAATAACACATAAAACAGTAAATAACCAATACTAATAGTAGTAACAATAATAATAATGATAATAATAATAATAATAAAAACTAGAAAAAATAAAAACTAGATAAATTTATAGTTGTTGCAGTTATATTGTTGTATATACTACTAAAACACACTTAATACTTATTGGTTTTTAGAGAAAAATCTTTATTATAATTATACTTTTTAGTAATTTCAAGTAGAAACTGTATACAACAGTACTTTTCATTTTCAAAAAATAAATAACAAGCAGGCGTACAAGTATAGTGCAAATAGTGAGTCTAATTCTTATTTCTAAATATTTTGTCTATATTCATTTGAATTTAATTTTTATAAACCAGAGTTTTAAAGTAAATCATTTGAAAATATGGTAGCTAGAAAATACGTAAAGAATTAAAAATATTATGTTTTGTATGTGTGTGTGTGTGTGTATGTATATATATATATATATATATATATATATATATATATATATATATATATATATATATATATATATATATATATATATATATATATATCATTATATATATATATATATATATATATATATATATATATATATATATATATATATATATATACATTATATATATATATATATATATATATATATATTATATATATATATATATACTATATATATATATATATATATATATATATATATATATATATATATATATATATATATATATATATATATATATATATATATATATATATATATACACATATGTAGTTGATATACATAGTATCGTATTTATAATTAGGATAGGCTCATTCCTTATTGCATTTTTTCAAAAACCTTTGAAAAAGTTTTATTTCTCAGTAATTTGAAGTAGAAACTATAATTTTTATGTTCAATTAATAAATTTATGTAAATCAGGCACAGAAGTAGAGTTTAAATAGTGTGTTTAATTCTTTAACTTAAATTTTTATTCTTATAGTATAAATATGCAAAATTTTCCGACATAAAAACTTACATATTAAGCATTACTTAATAAACTAATAGTTTTGTAAATAGCATATTTATGTTAATAGTTTTGTAACTAGCATGTTATACATATAAAAATAGCATGTAACCCAAATAGATTTTAAACTAAGACATTTTATAAAAGGTAAACTGCGGTATAATATAAACTATTCTTTAAAGTATATATCACAGATATGTACTTACTCTTTCTCATTATATATCAATCAACGCTCTTTTTATAATTTTATCTGCGGGTTATGAAAATTATTGTTGAAAATGGTAGCGGGCGGGACACTAAGTAGTGTAAAGTATAAATGTTACAAAGCAAGTTACAAACAAATAAACCTTAAGTTTACAAATAATTGTTAGTGACTTAACCACAAATAATTTGTTGATGAATGAAGCCGGACGAAAAATAATAATGATTGCATAAATATTCCAATTTTAATGTGCAAACGAGTCTCGGTGCAAGAGTTCTTAGTTATTGTAGTAAAATGCGTAAATCACTATACAAATTTTTTGACACATTGTTTAGCAAGTTCACAAGATTTCAAACGCGTAATAAGTTGAGCAAAACTTTAGCGTCTAAAACAATTTTACTCAAAAAAAGATCTACAGAAAATTTTAAAAATTTACATTCAATATCTAAAAATTTTAAACTTTATGTAAAGAACAAATGTTTTAAAATAACAAAGCGTTTTTATATCTCCATTGTCATATAAACTAGAGCATTTAATTTCATGGTTTGAAAAAACGTCCGTTTTATTTACGTTAAACCATATTAAAAACAAATATAATAACTTATTGTTTTGAATGTTTTGTTAAAATCTACGTAAAAAGGTATTATAACTATAGCTATAAATACAAATGGCATTTGTATTGATAAAAGCAAATAGCATGCATATTATTGCAAATTATCATTGCTTGCACAAATGCAAATACTGTTGCCAACTACTATGCTTGTTTTTTATGCAGCAATATTTATAATGGCCACAATTTATGCTGGTACAAGTTTTTTTTGGGAGGACTAACCCACGGGGGTTAGAATCAAAACTGTAAAAGTATGCGCAAAAATAATTACTAAAAAATTGTGTATCAATTTTTGCATTTGGCTTATAAAAATTAAAGTGATCCGTACTATGAGAAGCACTTTGTCTGGGTTCCTTATAAACATGACCATTGTCTTTTTTTTTATGTCGGAGAGCGCCAAGCTAAACAAATTAAAATTAAATTTTTTATTGCGTTCTCCTACAGAAAAAAACAGTGATAATGGCAACCCTACTTACAGCACAACCAACTTTTCAGCGTTAAAATAACAATAAATTAAAAAAAAAAAAAAAAATGCAAGTAGTATACAATCTTGATTAGTAGTTGAATATAATAATAATAATAAAAACTAGAAAAAATAAATGTTTAGTAGTTAACATATAACTCTTTAATTAGGTGATAACTATATAAAAAAATATAAAAAAATATATATTTTAAATATTTCAATGAATAAATAAGTTTAAAACTTATTTGGTTTTACCACGCTATATAGTGTAAAAATGTGGTAATGTATTTAGTTTTTATAATTAGTTACTAATTACTTAAGCATAATATCGATTAATTACTTTTCAATAGTTAAAAATAGTAAACATTACTTTAGTACAGCGAACTAACTAATAGTAATTATATCGTATACATTTATATCATATTAAAAGTTAATGTAATAGTTAATAATAATTTAGTTATTGAACAATTTAAGTGACTAATTTTTCAATGTATATATATTTGGTTACCAATTTTTTTACTTTTATTTTACATTTAATTATATATTATATAAATAATACTATCATGATATAAAGTTAATAAAATGATGTGATAACAATTTAAAAATATAAAACCTACGAAAACTTTATTCAAAAAAATTAGTCGGCAAATTTGGACCTGCAATTCGGCAATTTTGGATCTTTTTGGCGACACTTGACAAATATCATTAAATAATTATCTTTTTTTATTATAATTAAGTCGTTAGACTGCAAAAAGCAGAAATTTTCCCCTCCCTCGCCTTACCTTTAAGATCTCCTTGGAACGACCCTGGTAGTTCATATGATATACTAGCATAGAAGTTAACAAAAAGCATATGTATAAAAGATATCATATAGCTATCTGTATGTTATTTATAATGAATAAACACATTTATAATGAACTAATTTACTTATTTATAATGAATTAAAATATTTTTTCAAAAGGTTTTTAATTAAATAGTTGACTTTTTAATAATTCTTTTATTAACTGAACAAACAATTAAAAACCAAATTGAAAAGTATTTTAAAATATGAATGTTTTAAAAAATATTCAAAAAGGACGACAAATGTGTCAAAACAGAATTTTAAAAATGGGTTTATAAATGTTAATGATTTGTTACGTAGCAAATATTGCTAATTTATGAAAAATTCTTCTGACCCTAAAACTTCAGGTAATCAGAGATGTGGCTCTTGAAACTTTATTCTTGGTCTCAAGATATTATGAGACTTATGTGTTGGTCTTGGTCAAAATTTTAGAGTCTTGGTTTTGGTCTTGGAATCTTTACTGTCTTGTACTTTCATAATCCTTACAAAATATATTAACACAATCGATGGGTTAATAGTTACCCAGCTGGCATACAAATATTGTTCCAACATATGTAAAACCATGTCGGGTGTTTTTTCTAATGCAAATCCGGTATTGATCCATTTTCATGTATTTAGCAATTAAATCAAATAAACGATTAAAACCGAAGCGAATAAAAACAGCTTGCGCAGTTACGTCGTCCGTTGGCATCATATATTAAAATAATAAGAAGAAATATGAAAAATTATTTTTCACACTTGCTTTTTTTCAAAATGATTTTCTTAAAATGCGCATCATTTTTTTTAACACTCACCTTTACACATGCAAAAAACACAAGGCTGCACTAGGCCACACATGTGATCTACTTTAAATTACACACTCATATATATAATCAAAGTTTACAATCAAATTTTCTGAGCTCAGCTGAGCGCAGTAGGTGCTAGACTTTTAATTATAAATGATATCCAATCGTCGATTTTGCTTTAAAAACTGAAAGAGAAGCATAAAGTTTTAATCATTTAAATCTTGTTAAATTTTTTTTTAAATATTAATACTATTAATACTATTAATATTATTGTAAAAAGTTAGAGGCGAAATTTTTGGGTTTATTTGTTTCCAACCTCCAATCAATGCAATTTTTTTGCAAAGCATCATTGCTTGACATAAGTATAAACATGTAAATGTTTGGTGCTTGCTCCATTTCTGGAAGTTAGCTATCTCAAACACCAGAAAATGCTGGATCGGTCACTGAAGAGAACATATTTGTTTGTATTTATGTATGAAAAAAGTTTTTATTTATGTAAAAAGAAGAGTTTAGTTTAGTAAAGAGTTAAAATTAGTTTGTTTACGAGAAAAAAAGTTTTTTAATTTTTCGTTGTGTTGAAAGCGAGAAAACTACATCATCTAGTACTTTTAGTTTTAATGTCGTCTAAATAACTTTTCTAAAATGTCGTTTTCATCTTGAAAATTATACTTTAAATGTGTCAAATGTATTTTGCTCATTAATATAAAGCCTATAAAATGGAAAAACAATAAATTAATTGTGAAAAATAATCATTTAATACACCCTAATGATAATGTTTTAGACTAAAACAATAGAGAGAACTACAAAATAAAACTCTCCAGGCCTCAAAGAAATTATGATCTTATGATTAAAATGCTTTGCAGGTACGTTATTAAGGTGTCCAGAATAAGGAGAAATTGGGTAAAAGTTAAAGACTCTAATCAACCTGAGGAGGACTAGGGGCTCTTAATGTACTTGTTTATGATGCACATTATCACCAAGATTCTTTAATATATAAAAAAAGTATGTTGATAAAAAAGTTAAATTTTATTGATCGTTACTTGTTTATATTCACAATATCAAAGAAATTAAGTACATAAATTAAATAAAAATCCCCAAAAATATCTTGACAACCCATTACCACATCTACCTGTGCAATCATAACCACTTCGGGAGATCAACTATTGGCCATATTTGGTCAGATTTGATTTTCCTGATATCAATTACCTATATTTAGACATTCAACATGTCCCATCTAATTGAAAACCATCGGGATATTCCAGGACCACCTTGACCACTCCTAAAATGATTGTCTGAGCGGTAATGATCACTCCTGAAGACCAAATATGCCCAATTTCAAATTCACTGACCGCAATTACTTATATTTAGACGTACAGCATGTCCTATTTAGTTAAAAAAGATTGGGACATCTCAGAACCACCCTTAACCACCAATAAAATGACCACCACTTCTTAATGACCAAGTATGCCTTGATTTGAAGCAGTCTTTTTTTTTTTTCTTTTTTTACATTTCTTCAATATTTATAAAATTAAAAGTTAAGATATAATAATATAAACAATTACAAGTGAGGATTTTTACTATAAATATAAAAAAAAGAATGCCGAGACTCGTAGAAGACTTTGTCGTTGAAGGTCTTGTCGTTGAGCACCACTGCAAACTTGTTACAAATTTACGTGTTAAATGTTTTAAAATAAATAAAAAAAATGTGTTAAACAATATTAGAAGAAAAATATAACTTAAATAAAAATAGAAATTTACAAATAAATTTCCTATTAAAAGTATAAAAGTATATTATCAATAGACAATTTGATTTTCTTATGTTTCCTTTTATATGATGTATAAGTTCATGAGAAAATTCATGAGAAAAGTCAAAATATTTCAAAACTATTTTATTCCAAAGAAAGGCTCCTCGGAAAGAAACACAAGATTTACCAAAATTTGTATGCGAAAATTATAGTCGAATAAAATTATCATTTCGTAGATTGTACTTGTTTTTTTCTTTTATTGAGTATAGGTTATAAAAGGAAGAAGGGGAATCGTTAGTTTTACATTTATACATAAAACATAAATTTTATAAACGTTTCGTTGATATATATTTAAAATATTCGTTTCAAGTAAGAGAGGTCTGGCATCAGTAAAACGGTCTTCAAAGTTTATAAAACGTGCAATGTGTTTCTGTTGACGATGAAGAGGTTCTAGTATTCTTTCATTCACACTACCCAGAGCAATATTAGCGTAGTTAATATGGTAGTGAACAAAGGAATAATATAATTGAATTAAAGTATGTTTATTTAAGAAGTATCTTCTTGATTTATATAATATTCCTATAGTTCTAGCAATTTTGTTATTTAGATTGTTAACGTGATTTTTCCATTTAAGATTTTCATCAATATAAATGCCTAAAAATTTTGTAATTTTTGTTCGCTTTATTTCAATATTGTCAACAAAAATAAGTGGCGTAA